CCCCAAAACCCCAAAACCCCAAAACCCCAAAACCCCAAAACCCCTTTCAAATATAATAAAACTAAGGATCAACAATTAAATTTTTTAAATATGGAAGTTGATACTACAAAGCAGTTAGAACCCCAACACAAGAAGTACTCTAGCTCAAAAATGACTGTCAGAGAGAAAAAAGTTATCAAAAATATGGTCACAAAGAGGTCAAGCAAGGTATGGACCCTCAATTTCTCACCTAGTTTTATTATACTGCTGTAATCGTTTCCCACAATTGCAGAATATGTCTCAAATTATGTAGAAAAGTACAAGGAATAAAGAGAACTGAATTCCCCTTGAGGAAGATACTGAGAAGTTCCTTGAGTACAATGGTAATTACCCCCAAATCTTTCACAATATTCCCAATGTTTTCAAATTTCTGGGAAATTATAAGTATAAAGATAAATTTTTATCTAACGAGAAGATTGATAGAGCCTGTTGATGCCAATTTATTCCAAAAGTACTTCCTTGTTTCTAACATCGATATTTTTCAGTCGCAATAGATGCTCTCTAAAATGTGAAACCGCATAAAAACTTATGATTTATATAGATAAGAAATCTAACAGCAAAACAATATATTTATCCAAGGGTTATTCAACAAACGATGTATAGCTTCCATTCTCACAATCTAGCCCAATAATGACTATAGTAGCAGCTTTGTTGTCAAAAAGAGTTCAAATTCTTCCCTCTGAGACAAAGAGAGTTACAAACATTCTCTAGAACGAGCTGATTCTTATCACAAATAAATCAGATACCAAAATACTATCAAATTCAAAACCTCAGAAAACCCCAATTACTGCTTACAAGTCTAGCTCGACTCATCGCAAGAGAAAGCCTCAATCTAAGGTGGTTAAAAGAGGAAGTGTAAAATCGTCTTCAAACTTGCCTCCCAAGACAGCGAGCAGACATACAAAGTATAATAATTATTTCTCTCATCAGTCGAACAACCAGCTGAATCGGGTAGCTACAAAGAATATGAATACTATGATCAAGGACAATATCTGTCAAGGTTCTCATTTTAAGAAGAATTCAAAGCCTTGTGAGAACAATACTTCACGACACCTAAGCTCCATCTCCTTCAGCAGCTCAGCTGCTCACAGAGACTCTTCAAAAATCTCCAGCAGCTCTCGCTCTCACAAACCCTCAAAAAAGCCCAAAAAATCCCTCTACCCCAAATCCTTGCTCACCTACACCTCCTCCAACTACACCTCCTCCAACATCATCAAAATGCTTCGCGCAAAGCAACAATCCAGCACCCACCCTCCCAAAACTCCCTTCCCTCACATCCCATTATCCACATCCTCAATCCTCCCTTCCCAGCCGCACCAAGTCCTATACCCCTCCAGCACAGGTGACCAAAACCCAGTTCAGATTTCCCAGATTCCTTCCTACGCTGACCTGATAGAGCTATGATGTGCTAGTTTGGAAGGATTTGAGAGTAAATTTCAGACTATGAGTGGAGAGATAAGGCAACTGTGAAGGATTAATTATAAAGCAGTTGAGTTGTATAAGCAGATCATGGATGAGTTACTTGGAAGAAGGGAGAAGGGGAAGGAAGGGATGGATCCGGTGGTTTATAAGATTTTTGAGATGGTGAAGGGGTATTTGGAAAATGAGGATAGTGATATAAGCAAGTTTGAACGCTCTATGCAGGATAATCTTCAATTCATTGAAAAATGAGACGAAACTCTACAACTCTTCAACACTCTTAAAGAGACTGTGAAACAATCTGAACAGCCCCATACAGACATCTCCTTCCACTCACCTAAGACCTCTCTCAATTTCCAAAACTCCTACAGTCGCATTCCCAAAAATCAAGCATGTAACAGGTAAGCCAGCTTTCTCTTCTCTAAATTCACTTCTGGTTCAAATTGTCTAATTTCTTTAAACATCCATACTATTTAAAAACTAAGACTCCCTTCATAAATCCCAAAATCTTCCTTCAGTAGCCTGAGACACCTCGTTTTCATTAAATAACCCTAATCTGGCTTAAAGACTCCTTAAGCTTGATTCCAGCCTCTGATTTATTCGTATTCTAGACACTTCAACTCTTGAAAGCAAGACTTGCTTTTGAAGAACCCAAGCATGGCGAATTGTACTGAAGACAAGGACGGAAAGAGCCGGAATACCAATACAGGGGCCCTGAGTAGCAAGACTTTTGCTCAAGAAGGCAAGTATGAAGGATCTACACAGATGAAAGACCAGAATTCTGTGAAGCAGTTCAATCAAAAGGTCTTCCAGAGTGCTGAGAATTATCAGAAAAAGCTCGATTCCATAGATGATATTTTCCAAGCTCCAGTTTTTGATAGCGGGAAGAAGGATTTTGAGGGTCAGAGAAAGGAATCGTTAGACAAGTCTAAAATTCTAGAACCATCCTGTGATACTAAAGAAGAAGGTATCTCAAATGTATCGTCTATCCATCCAACCTCTGAAGAATACTCTAAAATCAATAAACTCCTCGAAGACCTCTCTGTAATGATCCTCTCAAGCCAAAAATCCCAATCCCTCGACCAACAAACCTTCGAAAACGCTATGATCAAAATCGAAAAAGCATGCACCCCTGAAACCCAAAGCTCCTCCCTTATCCCCAGAATCTACTGAACCCTAAACCTCCTCCTCAACCACAAATAACCTGCCTCACCACTCACAGGGCCGAAACTCCCCTCCCTTCCCTCAATCCCCCAAACCCCAAGAATCCTCCACCCTCTAATCCCCAAATTCCTTCCATAAAAATCCCTTAGTTCACTAAAATCTCCTTCAATTTCTGCTCAACTACAAGGGGTTTTGGGGTTTTGGGGTTTTGGGGTTTTGGGG